CGCGGCTGGGGGGGGGGGGGGGACAGAGGTGTGGGACATGAGAGCAAAGGGATTATGTTTTCAATGTGATGAGAAGTATACCCCAGGCCACTAGTGCAAAGTTCGCACTCCTTGCAATTTTTAATGGGGAGGAGGTTGATAATGAGTTGGATGAAGAAGCGGAAGATAGAGAGGAGCACTTACACTTGGAGGTGTTCCTCAACTTAGAGGTGTGATTCACTCCCAATCACACCATGAAGGTGACAGGACAGATCGATGAGCAACTTGTTGTGGTTTTGGTAGATAGTAGAGCCACTCACAATTTCATCTCAAACTGGGTCATGGACCAGTTGAGATTGAAGCTGGTAGATACGGGAAGCTTTGGGGGTCATGATGGGGGACAGAGTGGGAGAAAAATTGGGGAATTTGCAAGGGATTGGGGGTGACAGTACATGGCTTACAGGTGGTGGAGGATTTCGTTCCCTTGGATTCAGTAAACTCTAATTTGATTCTGAGAATGAAGTGGTTACAAATGATTGGAGAGATGAAAGTGGATTAGAAATCACTGACGATGGAGATTACGGTGGAGGGGAGGAATGGTGCTGAGATGGGATGCTAGTGGTCAACCAAATTAATAACTTCCATCTACTTGGAAAAACAAAAAGGATAAACAAATTGAATCACAGCTGTACTTGGACAGCCACCCAACCTCATAAATCTCTAATTACACATATTACTCAAACAGAAGATTGCTGTGACTTTTTGTAGATGAATAGAATTGGAATTAGACAATCATTTCCTTGCGTTTAACATTATCCATAGGCTAATTTCTTCTAGTTCCAGACTTAATGGAGATAGTAGATTATTTCTGAGCATGGGTTTCATTTAATGAGTCCCGGGCCTTATTTAATGGTTTCCACATTCATTTGTAGCAATCTCCAAGTCTTGTAACATCAAATTAGCATTTCGGTGAAAATTATCAACAATATTATAGTATTCTTTTTATCAGAAACAATCAATAAATTAATGTGGTTCTTCAATACTGTTTTGCCTGCCATATGCTTGTCTATTTTATTTATTTAAAAATCTAGCTTTGTATTTCATTGAAGCTGGGTTTTTTCTAGTTTGAACTAATGGTTTGATCTTTCTTCCACTTCCAGTCAGATTTTGTAGAAGAGCTCTTTTATGATAGATTTTTACCACATCAATTTTCCTCTGCTAGGCTGATGGCTTATCATCGGCAGGTGAGTAACGATTTGTGCTCATAATTTTCGCATCAATCATGATGTTGTGAATTAAACCTGAAATTTTCCATCAATTTTATTCAATGCTTCATTTCATGCCAGTATTTTTTAAGGTTGATTTTCAGATGAACTCTTAAAGATGTGTTCACTTAATTTTATTTCATGGATGATGGCTTTAACCCTATTTGCATGCCCAAATTTAGATTTGCGGGTTTGGGATTCTTATCATGGATCCAATACTATAAAAGTTCATATAAAAATGTTCTGTCAAATAATTATGACTTTTGGAGAACCTAGATGTATGGAGCTCTTCTTCGATAAGATATTGTAAAAGCAAACGTGCTAACAATGGTAAGGAAGATGAAATGTTAGAGATGGCGTAAAAATACTTTCGATGGTCCAATTATGTTTGGTGGAAGATGTACTAATAAAAGGCCTTGGAAAATATGATCATTGAAACCCTATGGTTCAAACTCAAGGCATTGTTCATGGCCATAAGCCTGTCCATTAACTTCTATGAAAAGCAAAAATTGTATTTGAGGCAAGTTACATCTAAATCAATTTAAAATCATTCATGGTTTGAGATATATTGATGTAATTAGATGATTAGGATTAGGGTTGTGAATTTAGCTCGAAGGTTACTAATCGCTTGAAAGTTTATTGAATTTTGGCTCGGACCGAGAACAGAGCGAAATAAACGAGCCGAACTATGAGCCAAAATTTTGGATAGAAATTTTTTAGCCGACTTCTAGTCAACCTCATCTCGGCTCGAAATAGGATAGCTAACACCCTTAGTAATGTCAGGGCCTTCAATTTAGTGAATTTAGCTCGAAGATCGTTAATCAATCGAAAATTGATTCAAATTTAGGCTCGGATCGAGTTTGGGTCGAAATAAACAAGCTGACATATGAGCCAAAATTTTTTATCGAATTTTTTTAAGCCTATTTTGAGACTACCCTAACTCAGCTCAAAATTGGATTGTTAACATCCCTATTTAGGACCTCCAAATAATAACGTTCTTCCTGATATTTATACTCCATGCAAATTTTTATTTTTATTTTTTATTTTTACTCCTTGAAAGTTTTTTTATTATTTTTTTTATTATTTATTTTATGTGAAGTTATTTAATTTGTTTGCTTGCTCCATTATGGAGACTTGTTTAAAAGTGGATTCCGTTTGCTTCAGCTTACAACTTCCCTTGATCGGGGCATTTACAGCTATGCCACGCAATTCTTATGTATTTATATATCTAAAACCTAAACATTTATATTTACATGCATGTCATTCAATTTTTTAACATCACATCAAAAAATACCGATTCACCTTTCATGCATAGGATTATAACCCCAAAATATTACAAGTGTAGATATCAGACTTTGGGTGTTAGATATGTAAATACATAAGAATTGTGTGGTATGCATGTAAACTTCCCTTGATCTTATTGATCTGGCTGCCTATTTAGAGATTCTGATTTGTATTTTTCTCTGATGCCAAACTTTAATGTAAGAATTCTTACTATTATAAATTTGGGGCATTTACATACATAGCAGTCAATTTCCACATGTATTTACATATCCAACACCTAAACATTGTTTTTTTACATTTATAGCACCCAAAATTTTCACATCATATAAAAAGTATCACTATTTTAACTTTTAAAAAGTGAAATACACTTTTTTTTTTTTTTTTTTCTTTTTTTTTTCTTTTTTTTTTTTTTGCATATGTAAGGTGGTGTGTAGTTAAAAAATGGAAGTTTAGGTGTTAAATGTGTAAATACCTAGAAAATGAATGTTATGTATGTGAAACTTCCTATGAATTTTGCTTGATCCCATTCTTCTATATTTGACTTGAAACATCTTAACCTCAATTTATTACAATGATTAGCTCCGCGGTTTCTCCGGCGAAGTTGCTTCGAAGGGTTTATCAGGAGATCTGTTAATAAAGCTTCCATCCTATGTGATACCTCATAATAAAAGAGATGGCCATGAAGACAGCATCTGCTGCACAATTTGTTTGCAGGTATTATTACAAATACCCTCTAAACTTTTTCTATAATCATCTAATTTTTCCCATAAAATATATGCAGGAATCAGTAAAAAAATTACAGGGAAATTTGCATACATACCTCACAACTCTAGTGTATTTATATACTTGACACCCAAATTTTGATATTTACACTTTTAACACCTTGGTGACATTAACCCATGCATGTGAAAAGGTGAATTTTACTTTTAAGAAGGTGATTAAGAGATTTTTGATGTGATGCTAAAGATTTGATAGTATGCATGTAAATACAATGTTTAGGTGTTACATACATAAATACATGAGAATTCTGTGGGTATGTATGTGAATGCCCCAAAATTATATTACACTTTTCTCAAAATAAACTCAACTGATTCAGACATAGGGTCTGTTTGAGGTAGCTGCAGTTTATTAAGAAATTGCTGATAAAAATAATCTACTTATACAAAAATTTGTGGCAATTAAAATTTTTTTTTTTAAAAAAGCTAGACCGC